TTGTTGCCCGGGCTAGAGTGCCGTGGCATCAGCCTAGCTCACAGCAACCTCAAACTCCTGGGCTCAAGCGATCCTCCTGCCTCAGCCTCCCGAGTAGCTGGGACTACAGGCATGCGCCACTATGCCCAGCTAATTTTTTCTATATATATTAGTTGGCCAATTAATTTCTTTCTATTTATAGTAGAGACAGGATCTCACTCTTGCTCAGGCTGGTTTCAAACTCCTGACTTGGAGCAATTACCCCGCCTTGGACTCCCAGAGTGCTAGGATTACAGGTATGAGCCACCTCGCCGGGCCAGATCCACTTTTTCAATATATGACTGAGATCTTCAAGTTTAGCTTTATGGAGTGTTTTTCTAATTTTTATTAACTTCTGTTCATAAATTTTAGCACAGAACTACGATAGTTTATTCCTTCTCTTTCTTCAGGTCATGCATGGTGATCATTCCAACACCGTAATATTCTGTAATATGTTTCACATTTACACTGCTGTCCAGTTTCTCCGACAGCTTGACTTTCTGTGCTATAAACATAAATATTCCCTCTTTTTCTTATTACTGTTACCATTAGACTAACTGCATATGTTTTTGACATATTCAATAATATCTTTACAACACAGAATAGATAATAAGCAAAAAACCCACAGTAAATAACACATGTAGGTCTTGGCCTCCTTGTGGGGGGCATTGTGGGGAATCTGCCATAGATGCATCTGGCTGCAATCCTTCTGCCTCAGCCTCCTGAATAGCTGGGACTACAGGTGTGCACCACCATGCTGGCTAATTTTTCTGTTTTTTTGTAGAGACGGGGGTCTCACTCTTGCTCAGACTGGTCTCGAACTCCTGAGCTTGAGTGATCCTCCTGCCTTGGCCTCCCAGAGTGCTAGGATTATAGGCCTGAGCCACCGCACCTGGCCCTTATCCATCCTTTTACTACCTTCATGGTGCCTTGCACATGATGTGTCCTATATAAATATTTATTGAACTGAACTGTATGAATAATGTTCTATCAAGTTTCCCTGAAGATTTAGAATCTCAGAAGGTGCTTGATGACAAGATGAAGAATCAAGATGAATTAAAAAGTCACAAGATATTTCTTAAAATTCTTGCTTTCTTTTAAAACATGAGATGCTTTAAGAATTAAAATCTTGCTTTATATATCATACTATATACCATTTAATGATGTATGCCTGGATATTATAAAGAGCTTTAAAGTTATTTTGCAAAAATGGTCATTGAAAACCTGGGATTCTAGATGAGTGACATGTTTGCTCAGCTCGGGGAAAGCATAGCAAAGTTTTATTAATTGTGATTCATTGAGGGAAATGAGAAAGTTCGATGTGGGATGTGGGATATTCTTTAGAATTTGCTCAATAAGGAAAATAAACTATCAGATTTACTAAATAGATTCTATATTCCAGCTTTGGGAGTATATGAGAATGACTGCTAATTAGTTAACTGCAAATAACACTTCTAATTTATATTGCCCTGATTACTAACAAGGTTGAGCAAACGTTTTCAAATGTTTATTGGTCATTTCAATATTTTTTGTGAAGTATCTGTTCAAGTCTCTCATCCATTTTTCTACTGGGTTGTCTGGCTTTTTATTGTTAACTTGGTGTCTCTCCTATATTTTCTGGATACCTAACTTTGTTACTTAAACATGTTACAAAAATCTGTTCCTACTCTGGTTTGCCCTTTTACTGTCTTAGCAATATTTTTTGATATCATAAGTCATTAATTTTATATAGCCAACTTATCAAATATCCACTTTATGGATAATAGTTTTTGTATTCATTTTTAAAACTTTTTCCCTATTCCAGGTCATGAAGCTATTCTTCCAAGTTATTATATATTCCATAAATCTTTATTGTTTTACCTTTTATATTTAGATCTCATTCCTGATGGCATTGATTTTGGGATAAGGAGTGAGGTAGGAGATACATTTCATTTTTTCCAGTGGATATAAAATTAAGCACTTTTAAAGTGTTTTAGAAACTTGAAAACTGTTTATTTTAGTGACTTACTTTCACTATGCAATGCTTAATCTTTTAATTTATACTGTACTTGAAGAGCTTGCTACACAGGCAAATTTTATCAATCCATCCTCTTTCCTTGTTATTAAAAAGACTTTTATCTGAACTAATAACATTTAAAAATTACTAGTTAGCAAATAATTTTATACTTAAATTATGTAATCTGTCTTTTAGGAAGCTATTTATTTCAGTTTAGGTTCTTAACCATGTAAGGCACATGGTCATTAATTGCTTAGCCCTATCTCAGTTATAATGACATGGTCAATGGACTGGGTATTTTCTGGAACTATGTTTAATGACCTACTTCTCATGTTTTTCTATTCAGTGATTCCTTTTAGAAATTGTAAAAATAAGGATCTTTATCACATCACCTAAGCATGAAAAATTAGGAAAGTAATGAAGTATTAGTAATAATTAGGAAGGATATATATCAAAATTTTAATAAAAAGCATATTATAACTTAAAAGAATAAAGGGGTCCTCAAATCATTATCCCATAGTGCTAATGATTTTCTCCTATAAATCTCCAGTCAAGTTCAATTCTAGCAAACTTGAGTATGGATCAATACCAGTTTAGTGTAGGCCTCCCTTTATTTTTCTTTTGAGACAGGGTCTCACTTTGCCACCCAGACTGGAGTGCGGTGGTGAAATAGCTCACTGCAAGCTCAAACTCTCAGGCTCAAGTGATTCTCCTGGCTTAGTCTCCCAGGTAGCTAGGACTATAGCCACAAATCATCATGCCCGGCTAATTTTTCATTTTTATGTTTTTTGAAGAGATGGGGCCTATGTTGCCCAGGCTGGTCTTGAGCTCCTGGGCTCAAGTGATCCTCCTGCCTTAGCCTCCCAAAGTGCTGAGATTATGGGTGTGAGCCACTGTGCCCGACTCTTTAAGGGACTGGATTAGTCTAAGGTTATGTAGGATTCTAAATGCCTTAACATAATTAAGACAGTTATAAAGATACCTTCCTTGATTGGGCCCTTTTTGGACTTAGTACCTTAAATTTTTTCTAGCATTTTTATATTTCTGGGTTTTTAAAAAAATCCCAGTTAGATTATTACACGAACACAGGAATTCTGTCTTATTACCACTGTGTAATAGGTGCTCAAAAGAATGTTTGCTCAGTAAATGAATGAAGGAACTTAGGATCTATGTAATAAACTCCATAGTCAGAGCTTAAGCAGCGCATACATCCCTGTATCCTCAGGAACATGAAAGCACCCCTGGCCTATTCCACACGAGGCTCTTGGAATAGAAGAGACCAAAATCTAAACTTAAAGGGTTGACTCATATTGAACCATAGTCAGAGCACAGCAAGCTTAAACACACCCTCCCCAATTTAATTTCTGGTATTTAATATTTTCTTTTAAGTCCGCTGAGTATTAAGTCAGCTGAGGGTTTCTGTAGTTTAGCAAAGGAAAAGAAAAGGTTTGGGGAAACCAAGCATGGGAAAAGGAGACATAAGATGATAAATTAAAGTCCTCATGTCATTAAGGGCTCCCTGGTAGTTCCCACTTTGTTTCTCTTTGTGCACATGTACATTTTGCAGAAAGTCAAAGAGATGAAAGTTTGGTTATATTCTTAAACACAGTGCTAAGATAAGAGAAATATTGATTTTAGTACTTTGCAATTTTCTTCAAAACAGAGAGCAAGCTTTTGTGCAAGCACACTTACATTAAAGAATAAATATGGATTCTTGAGTAAAGAATAAATAATATTTCTGTTACCTACAAGAGTGCTTTTCTTTATGGGGCCACATAATTGGAGACTGGCCATATAACAGGCAATTTGGGGGGAGTTTATTCTAATGATTTTATGATCAAGGCAAACAATACAAGCTTAGTTGAAATAATTAAGGATTTATAGAACACCTAAATATGTAGCATGGTATGAAATACATGGGGAATGGAATAAACTTTTTAGTGTTTTATACATTTTGACTTTGCTGGTATAATTCGGCGCGTCTAGAAAGAGAATCAGCTCAACTATTTTGTAGCTGAATTTCTAGGACACAAAGGCACAGATGTCCTTTCCTACTCCACATTGCTGTAGACATCTGCTGTTTTTGCCTGCCCAGCATTTATTCCCCCTTCCTCTGGTGATAGCACTCTGATTTTCCATCGGGGAACTGCTCCTTCACCATTTTAGTGCAAGTGGTACAAGTGGCGTGAGTGGCCCTCGCCCAATCAAACCCAAGTCCCTGAAGTTCACATGTGGGCATGTTACCCAGACCTGGCCAGTTTGAGCATCACAGCCGCACAGCCACGGGTAATGGTTCAAAATGGGCAAGAGACCCAAATCAGGCCAGTGAGGCACATTCTGTGAGTTCTTCACAGCACTACTGGGAAAACAGTAGTTTTTTTCTTGTGGGGGACATTGGACTGGTAAAAACGTAAGCCTGAAACAGTTCATGGCTCCTCTCTTTGTTACCATTTGGGCAGAGCCTTTGAGAACAATGGTCATAAAATCATTAGAATAAACTCCCCCGAAATTGCCTGCTATATGGCCAATCTCCAATTATTATTATTTCCAGCAGGGGAAAACAGAGCCCAGAGATGGAAACCGTCATAATGACAGTCACTGCAGCACCTACGTACAGTCATGACAGAAAGACGACCCACCCTGGATTCTTCAGTTCCACAAGCCAACACATTCCCTTTTGCTTAAACCAGTGTGCGGCAGGATTCTGAAACTTGTAACTGACAGCGTACTGACCCATACAAATATCCGTGAGTCTTTCACTTGCAGGATGACTTGGCTTTGGAGAAACTGAGGCCAAAAGTCCTGGAAAGCTGAATCATGCTATGATAATTTTTGAGAACTGCCTTGACTGAAGTGTAAAAAAAAAAAAAAAAAAAAAAAAAAAAGTTTGCCCTTGCCCTTACCTCACTGTTTCATCTCTGAACCTAATGTACTTTATCTACAATGTCACTATTTTAAAAGGTGGAAAGACAGGCAGGATACTTACTGGTCCACTTCCTGCTGTGAGATTCTGCAGAGCTCCTAGAGATGCTTCCTGTGTATAGTTTCGGACGCTCTTGGCGATCAAGGACAAATACATCCTTATCACGATGGAGTGCCACAGCCACTCCACGCCCTTGGGGTTGCTCTTCTCCTCGGGCATCGGCACGTCCTGGTATTGCTGACCCCACATGCAAACAGAATCCAGAATTAAGGCACTGCAAGTGATGTCTGTCGTTCCACACTCAAACCAAGAGACCAGAAATACTGTCTAGAAAGACTAATAATATGCATGAGAAGCCCTTGAAATAGAAATTTAAAAAGCAAATACGTATAATTTCCAATTAACTTTTAGCCCACGATGATCATTTCTTCCTAATAACACTTTCCCTCCCCTCGCACCACCAACTTGACATTTCACAGTAAGAGAGAATTCAGAGAATTATGCATAGGCCATTCTAGAGTGCTTTTCGGGCTGCTGTTAAGTTATTATAAAAGCTAAATTAGTCACAACCGTCCTGAAGATAAGAAAAGCAGGCCTGTTCCTTCTGAGTCTAGGGAGGGTGTCCAGGATAACATCAGGGTTCTAAATTTACCAGTTGTTCTCCAAGTTCACAAACACCGTGATGCTCAGAGGAGTAGGGGAAGTCACATTCTTTCATTTTCACGTCAGTATGGAAATAAATGGGTATTCTTTACTTTAGGATTTGCTTTTAGTATGTCCAAAGTTTGTTTTTAGAATGCCCAAAGCCAACTATCAGGGCTGCTTTTAATGTTACAACATTTTCTATACTACTGGCCATGTTGCATTAAGCTTATTTCCTAACCTACAGGGCATGCAACAGCCCTATAAGTTCAGTAATTTAACAGAGCAAATCTGGAGCCAGATCGCCTGGGACTGACTTTGATCCCCTCCACTTATTTGCTGAATTATTCTGGGGAAAATTAATTAACCTTTCTGCACCTCTGTTTCCTCATTGATAAATGAGAATATTAATAATACACACTTGAAAAGGATGACATAAGGACTAAAAGAACTTAAAATAGTGTCCAACATACACTAAGTACTCAGAAACACACACACATACACTCTCTCTCTATTGAAGACCTCCCAATATACCTCTTTTACTTTCCTGCTGCGACTGCCAAAACACCCAATGCTTTTGTTGTTGTCAGTCTGGATATTCCGGTTTTGAATATAGATACTCTGGGAGTATTTCTCTGGGAGCTCTGCCTCCAGCTGGTAGGAGAGGTTATGAAGAATGCACACACAGTTCTCTGTGGCCTGAGACAACAGGACATGCACACTGATCACAGACATATAGGTAACTTTTGCAGGTATGTTATCACACTGTTTAGCTCTTGCAAGGATTACTGGATGCAATTGGATATGCTTGGACTGTGGGTTGCCTGGGAGAAGTGGAATGAGTGTGGCTAGAAAGGCTAAGGTTAGATCATGAACGGTCAGGAATACAATGCTAAGAAGCAGAGGCTGAATTTCTTAAAGCAATGGAGAGCCTTTCTAGTTTACTTTATAGAGAGTGTGTCCAGAATAACTCTGTGTTTTAGATATGTAACTTGGGGTAGCCATGTCGAGTTGGAGAAGAGGAAGAGATAATTGTTTGCAGGAACCAATGAGGAAGCTACTGCAATAATCAGTGTGAAAGATGCACAGACTGGGACCACAGCAGTAGCACTAGAGTGAAGTGAATGAACTGAAAGTCTTTCTAGAGGCAGCAAGAATATGGTTTATACAGAGAAGGAGCAAGTTTAGGGAAGAGGAAAGAGATCAATTTAAGTTTACCGCTAACTATGTAGCATCTGGGCTTGTACAAATATCCACAGAATTGTTAAACAACAGGTAATTTGAAATTTGGGTCTAGAAAATAGAAAAATAAGGCTAAGGTAGGCCGGGCATGGTGGCTCACTCCTGTAATCCAAGCACTCTGGAAGGCCGAGGTGAGCGGATCGCTCAAGGTCAGGATTTGAATCAGCCTGAGCAAGAAGACAAACCATCTCTCTAAAAATAGAAAGAAATTATGTGGCCAACAAAAATATATAGAAAAATTAGCCAGGCATGGTGGCGCAATGTAGTCTCAGTTACTCGGGAAGCTGAGGCAGGAGGATCGCTTGAGTCCAGGAGTTTGAGGTTGCTATAAGCTAAGCTGATGGCACGGCACCTAGGCTCGGCAGACAAGGAGACTCTTGTCTCAAAAAAAAAAAGAAACCAAGGTAATAATTTCTAAGCATGTATGAAACTACGCTCAGCAAATGAGTCAGTGAATAAATCCAAACCCAAGCAGCTACTTTAAGAATATTCTGGAGCATCTTAATAAGACAAAATAGGTAACTCAATGTGTGAGATATTTCACTCTTGGGTTACCTTGTCATCTGGCTGGTAATCCGCAATGGTTCCTCTGACATAATGGACCAGCGAGTCAATGAGTCCATCGCATCTTCTTATCACTTTCCTCCCATCAGGGCCAGCTGAACTCATGTTTCTATCAGGAAAAACAAACAAAAACCCATAATCTTAAGCCATGTATCCAACTGGCCTTTGTTTTGGAGATTACTGACGTTTCTTCCAGGTGTTTGGAAATTGACAAACTTGTAAAAGTGTCTGACAGACTTGTCCTGCGGTCAACAAATCAACTGCCCAATGGTTACCAAATCTGGATGCAAGTTGTAAATATATCCATACAACATGTAACCATGTCATAGGAGTCTTCCGTCTACTTCACTCCAAGCACCAAAGTCAGTGTATTATTCACTTAATCTTCACCCCATTTTTGAAATGTAGATATGAGAAGATAGATATGAGTCAGTTTGCAACTAACAGGAGAATAAATGGTACATCAATCATAGCAATATACTGGATGTCCAAGTCCCAATTTGCTCCATGTCTTAACTCTAAATAACTTAAAGTTTCTCTGGGCCTCAGTTTCTTCATTTTTAAAGACAGTGTATTAGACTACATAGTTTTGGGGTTTTGTAGGTTTCGGTATAAACTGTTATTGACAAATATTAAACCAGATGCTCTAAAATGTGATGATTCTATAATTAAAATGGCAGGGAGATGTTACAGAAACAGTTTCTAGCGTGTAAGACCTAAGTCAAAAGCCTGACCTATAAGTATCTCTGCACTTAGTCTGTTCTAATTTGTTAGCTCATGAACGTTCATAACAGTAACTGAATCTATAATTGGACGTTGCTTCCTTATAGAGAAATGAAGCTTATCAAATATAACAATGTAATGTATTTGAGGTTTACATTGCAAATTCAGATCATGTTTAGGTTCAGCTATTACTATCTTCCTTTAGATTAAGTTTTTCTTGTTAGCAGTAACCATTTTAAAATATTTTTTTTTCCAAAAATGTTAACAAATCAGTCAACAAGAGTGGTAAAAGAATATCTTCATCATTTTAGAACTTGTGAACTTGCCCCTATTCCCTTTTGCCAACTTTAGTTGCTAAGAAATGTTCTTATAAAATGTATCAGACCAGTTTCTTTTACTGGTAGGTAGACTACCCAAAGTGTATTCAAGACTTTTTGTTTATAATGTCTCAGTGTCATTCTGAACATCAAAAATAACTATAACTTCCGAGACCTTTTTGGATCTTATTTTTTTCATCTTTAAATAATATAATTGTAGTGATTTCAAAATGGATTTCTGCCCCAAAATATTGCTTTTAATGCATACCTGTCAAAGAAACGAACATGCCCAGTATTAGCTAAAGGAATGGGGGGAGTACATAATATTGTACCCTGTTTCCATGGAGATCACATCTATAGGTTGAACTCTGGGAAACAGACAATACGTGACTGTTTTTAACCCACAAAAATGGCAGTTTCACTATTCAATGTAATAGTTGAGGAGATAATACTAATACACCTAAAACCAAGAATATTAACAATTTAATAGTTGCTGAATTGACATAATGAAATTTTTTATTTTAACAAAATCCATTCTGTGATTTTGGTTCTCATTTTACTCTTCTAATTCAAGAATATCATCCTTATTTTATTTTTATTATACCTGAAAAAGTTCGAAACTTTGTCCATTACAAAAACGATAATGAATGTGTTTATAAACTGGAAATAAAACCATTTTTACTATCGCTTTTTCACAAGAAATGATCATTTAAACAAAGAGTCTCTGTCTACTTAGTGAGACCTTTAAGAATCATGGGATATAAGCAGCTTGGTGGAAACTGAAAAAGTATCTTTTACACATGAGGAAAATGAAGTCCGAAGAATTTAAATTACTTTTTCCTAGTGACAGCAAATTAGTGGTGAATTCAGGAAGGGAGGGCTGATCTTTATTCTGTACCCAGGTGGCTCCAGAACAGACCAAAGTCCATCTCACAAGCGCTCAGCCTGCCATTTGCTTAGCAAATACCATATTTCCCCAAAGACAAGACACTGTTATCATGTTTTAAAGCTCCCCTTTGACCTTTTCAACCTCTGGCCTGGAGAAATGGCAGGACTTTAGAACTGCTTTGACAAATCAAAAGGTCTGTCTTTCTTAGGAGTTAAGCCCACCACATACCTTGCAGATGGATGACTTAGCTTTGTTTAACTTCAGGGTGTTTATTTTGGGTCAGAATGGTAATTCAGTTTGGCAGCACTGCCAGTTCACATGCACTAACTGTTGTCTTGTCATTTGGTATTATCCAGACTCTACTTGCTGGAAATGGGACTTATCAGGGGTTTCTGGCAGTTGATACCTTTGTTGACAGAAAGTACATGGAACCCCATTGCTTCAGTATTTGCTCCTGCATATCAAAAATAGTTCCCACCTTACTCAACTACACAGAAATACGAATAAGGGTAGATTATTTTATGCCACTACACCCATGAAAAGAAATCATTAGACAGAAAGCAATTTGTTATTGTACCACTCTGAAAACAATATTTATAGAAAATGGTATATATATCCATCTTAAAGTCTTTTTTTTCAACAGCTATACTTAAGCTTGTAGGAATTAGAAAATTAACATGGCTACACTTAGACAGAATTGATCTTTTTACAAGGATCTCCTGAATACTGAGAAATATTACTTTTTTTTTTTATATGTAACCCAAAGGAGGTTTAATAGAAAAATATCTCAAACCTAGAAATAAAATATACTGAAACAATTATCTTATTGAAAATTAAAAGACAATAAGCACACATAGTATTCAATAAAAACTGATTATCAAAGTTACCAATAGCCTATATTGACAATGTTTAATACAGTGCCTATGGTTTGAATTTGACTAAATGATGGTTTTATTTCCCTGGTATAATCTAGCCCACATCTGAGTAAACACATGAGTACATTTAAGTATTCTAAAACTGTATACTGTTGTATATTGAAAACCAGGTCCTTGGACTGGGATTGAAGACAAGGAAGGGGCCAGGAGAGGGGAGGTGAAGGAGATGAGCCCCCTTTCACATCCAGGCAGGACTGTTTTGGCTTCTTTACCTACACTGGGCCCAGATGGGAGGACACCAGCCCAATCTGTAGCCAGTACTTGCAAATTAGGGAGAATTTTTTTTTTTAGCAATATGATTGGTACTGGGGGTGGGGGAAAAGAAATAGAATCTGAACCTCTGTAAGTCTCTAAAATGGTAACAGAGCTTCACATATTTAGAAGGATTCAGGTGTTTTTTATCTGAAAGCAAATCTGTGGCTCTTGACTCTCTCTGAGACCACTTATCTCACACATTCCTGAGTGTCACAATGAAAAAGAGAAAAGAAAATAAAACGCCCCTGGCCTTTGCGAAAACTGAAAGGAAGAATGGTATGTCTTTAGTTAAGATTAATGACAGTATGACTAGCCCTTAAATTCATATGGTAAACCAAAGAATGGGCAACATTAAATGATAAAAACTGCTGCAATTTAGTGTTTGTACTAGACATTATGATAGGCAATTTACAAATATCATGATCTGTAATTTTCACAAAATTCCTGATATCAGGGTACCTTGGAATTGCACTCTGGGAAATTCTGACCTGTGCCTCTCATTTAAAATCAGAATTAACTGCTTCTAGTAGGATTTTTACTGGCCCTTCCACATATAGTTGTCTGTGCGTGGCTACATGCAGACCTGCTGTCAAATAGGCCTGGTTTACCTGCTGAAAGGAAATTCACTACAAGGTCAGTGTATAGCTTATGCTCAACTGGCCTTTAAAACAATGAGCTGATTGGGAATATTTATAGTAAAAGGCTACAGTTAAGTTACCAGGACACAAGAATGGCAGGTAACAATAGGGTTGTAGTGTATCTTTTCAAGATACTTCCCTCAATAAAACAAGTAATTCTAAGAAGCATAATTTTTTTTTTTAATGGGGACTATTCCTACTTGATAATGGGTATGGTTTCCTAACATATAGTTTATAGTACACATCCTATACCAGGCCTGGTGGCTGTGGAACTAGTCTTAAAGGTCTAACCAGCATACTGAGCTAGTGATCATCTCATTCCAGTGGTTTTAAAAAACTGTGGATTCACCTTTGTGTTCACCAACAATTAAAGGCTTTCTAATACTGTGTGATGTAAATTGTGGGGTAAGGCCTCAACTGATACCAGTCAATTAAGAATTTGGTAGGCAGAGTCAGAATTCATTCCACGACTGAGTAGGTACTTGATAAGACACTGGGTGATCAGGAGACATCCTTCTTCCTTTTGGTATTTGAGATTTAGGTCTGGGCTTTTGTCAAACCCTCAACTGATACGTATCAAACAGTTGGGTCTTGTCTGTGATTAACCAAGAGAAGCAGCAAAGAAGCCTGTGGTTGCACACAACAAAAGAGGAACCTCATTTGAACTGGCAGAGGAACAAAAACTCTATGCCAAAAGAAGGGCCTGCTTGTTACTCTGAAGTCGACATAAGTTCCTGAAGGTATCAGCAAACACCAGCCAAAGTCGACTGCTCAGTCTGCAAACAGAGCAACAATGGGAGGTCGGACAAGATGCTACAAACTACGCATCTTGTTCCTTTCAGGGCAAGCAAAATTAGACGAACAAAGATACATCAGCATCTATTACACATCGAGAAACTAGAAGGTGGTGGAGAAAAATCTAACCTTAAAAATCCTTTAGCTCTGCTTTCCTGCATTTTTTGGGTCTTTCAAAAGCATCCTGAATAAGCAATTCAGGAAGTAATCATCTGGTTGGTAGGCTATACTCATTTCCTCTTAATTTAGCCAGAACAGGTTGTTCAAGGCAGGGTGCCAAATTTCATTTAACATCAATTACAAACAGCAAACTGTAATTTTAAAAATACATCTAGGAGCCACTGCAACTTGAATAAGCATTCTTGACAATTCTACAGAAGATGTCTGGAATGACAGACTAGGATTAATGAAGACGTTTAAGGCTTAGACTAGAATAATATATTGCTCAGATAGTTTGTACCTCTAAGATAGGCACAGATTCAACCACACGATAGTAAAAAAACGTCATCAGTTGCTTTACCCAGACATATCAACCCACTCACTTTTTTATAATAATT